TAAAACAGAAAATGTTTTTTTAAAACATGTTTGATAGCGAGTAGTCATCATTGCTAACCCAATGCAATGAGTCAAACATTTCTATCAGTAGAAATAGTACTCTTTATCACATAATATCAAAAGCTTTTCTTTAATTTTCCACCCCTTCAATATGCTTGAATGGTGATAAACCAGAAAAGGATTTTGCTCTAAAAGTTTTGTGGCAACAAATTCACAGAACATGGCTCAAAGAGGCATCATTCCTTAATTCTTACATCTGGTTGCCAGTACTAGATGGCTCCAGTTAGTCAGCCTCAAGGTTCTAGGTCTGGGAGGGGAAAAAAAAATAAGGCCCTCTCATGTCTGAAATCATGCATACCTCCTGCTTCAAAAGATTTATTACTATGAAATAACATTGGCAGCTCTTTTATCTGCAACTTTAGGCAGTGTACAAAATTAAAAATATATTAAGAACAAAATATAGAATTATAAAATACGTAAAATATCAGAACAGTACACACATTGCAAGCCTTTCCCATGGCTAAATCAAAGTGATAGTCATCCATCTTTAAGCCAGTAGGAATTTTTATTCTTCCAATCTTGCCTTTCTTGGTTTCTATTCTATTGGACCACTAGGTGGTGGTGTTCTGCTCCTAGTTGGCCCTCTTAAGTAAAGCCATTGGCTGAATCTCTGATCTTTCCATTTTCCTCCTTTCTGAATGTCACCACCTGGCAAGAAAGCATTTGTCAAATATAGAATAACAGCTGATCCAGGGAGTGGATGACTTGCCCAATAAAGTAAGAAGACCTCTCCCACTTTGTCGACTCCCACCTAGTTATTAGATAGCTCCTCCCACACTCACAGACCCAATTGACAATCTGGGCATGCTTGATTGCCAGGTCTCTTAACCTTATTTTGCTCCAGCTGTTGATCAGTTCTTCACTGAAACGGCAGGGAACTGCCAATACAGCAGCTCTTTCTTCCAGGAAGATAAAATGGCAGTAAAGGAGAGTGTCTGTATCAACTACAAGAAACAAATTGTTGCTGGATGGCCCTAGTACAAAAGGGCATCAGATATGATCCTTTAAATGCTGCCGTGAATATCTGCTGACTTAATGGGAAAACTGTTTTAAAACAGAAGCAATTAAGTTAAACAACTTAAGGCTGATTCATTCATGTTCTGGATGTGAGATGAAAATATATGACAGACATATTTATAGCATACCACGTTCCCCATTCATGTGGGAAAATATTACAAGAGCAGAAATAATCAATTTGACTTAACATTATGGACTCTCATATATCATGATGAATAAGTATGATTTTAGCTGTAGCAAGATCTATATATGTATGTTTTATTTCAAAGGGGAGGCCATTCTAGGGAATTAGTGCTACAGTCACTTCAGGCTGAAGTTTGGCTGCATCTTTGAGTTTATCCTTCTCTCAAGAGTTTATCCTTTCTATCTTGATATAAGATACATGAAACAAACTTGACCAAGAATCCAGGCACACCAGAATAGAATAGAATAACAGAGTTGGAAGGGACCTTGTAGGTCATCTAGTCCAACTCCCCACCCGAGCAGGAAACCCTACACCATTTCAGACAAATGGTAGTCCAGTCTCTTCTTGAAAGCTTCCAGTGATGAAGCTTCCACAATTTTTGAAGGCAACCTGTTCCATTGGTTGATTGTTCTCACTGTCAGAAAAGTTCTCCTTATTTCTAGGTTGAATTTCTCCTTGATCAGTTTCCATCCATTATTCCTTATCTGGCCTTCAGGTGCTTTGGAAAATAGGTTGATCCCCTCCTCTCTGTGGCAGCCCCTCAAATATTGGAACACTGCTATCATATCTCCCTGGTCCTTCTCTTCACTAGACTAGCCATGCCCAGTTCCTGTAACTGTTCTTCATATGTTTTAGCCTCCAGTCCCCTAATCATCATTGTTGCTCTTCTCTGCACTTTTTCTAGAGTCTCAACATCTTTTTTATAGTGTGGAGACCAAAATTGTTTGCAGTATTCTAGTGTGGTCTTACTAAGGCTTTATAGAATGGTATTAGTACCTCACGTGATCTTCATTGAATCCCTCTGTTAATGCAACTTAGAATTGCATTGGCTTTTTTGGCTGCCGCCGCACACTATTAACTCATATTTAATTGATTGTCCACTAAGACTCCAAGGTCCCTCTCAAAGTTACTGCTATTAAGCTTGTATGTATCCTTTTGTTTTTTCTTGCCTAAGTGTAAGACTTTACTTTTCTCTACATTGAATTTCATTTTGTTAGATAGGGCCCAGTGTTCAAGTCTGTCAAGATCCATCTGGATCTTGAGCCTATCATAGGCTCATCTATCATCTAGGGCAGACATGTCAAACTCGCAATGTCACGTGATGTCGCGTGACGTATCGGGACTATTTTACCATTGCTGGCAATGGGGTGGGCGTGGCTTCCACGTGACGCATCCGGCCGTGGGCCGGCAGTTTGACATCCCTGATCTAGGGTGTTGGCTATTCTTGCCAGCTTGGTATCATCTGCAAATTTGATAGGTTCCCCTTCTATTCCCTTATCTAAGTCGTTTATGAAGATATTGAAGAGTACTGGGCCTAAGATGGAACCTTGTGGTACCCCTCTGCTTACTTCTCTCCATGTGGATGTAGTGCAATTGAGGATGACTCGTAGAAAAAAGAATTTGCAGGAAACAAACTATAAATGCCATTATTGCTGGAGCAGCTGCACTGGCTGCCATCTAATCTCATCTTCAATCTGCTGTAATGCATAAAGTACAGGTTGTATAGAAGAGTCAGTCCCAACCTTATCAAATCTGTGTGAAGCCCACTAAAAGTCATCAGGGAGAAGGGGGGCTGGCACCCAATTCAGAATTCTCAACTCTGATTGGTTTCTCTGTTGCTCAGAAATAAAGCAAAACCTGTAGTAGTCCTAAACTCCATCCCAGCTGACAGCCCTAAAGGAATGCCATGGCAGATGGTGACAAATGCTTCTGAAAAGTACAAAACCTCCAGAGTTCTGTCTCCTTTCTAGATCTCAGCATGAGTCTTCTATCAAGATGACCAAAAGATTGGAAGAGATACATGCATTCACATTATTTCTGGAAAACTTTGAAAGGAAAAAAAGAAAGAAAACAAATGTGTTCCAAATTCCACACACCTATAAAGGATGAACATTAGATTTTCCTTCTGCATGCTGTATTTCCTCATTATTTACAGTATTGCATAGAAATTATGGCTCCCTCTAGTGGAAATTCTAAATGCTTATGTTTTTATAATTTTATATTTTAAAATATATCATTTGATAGGATAAATAAAAAAACTCCAGATATTATCTAACATTCTTTCCTTGACCCTTATTTAGTCATAGTATTTCAGCCTACATCCAACAATTGCATTCTAGGAATATGTTCTATACAATACATATTAATCCTATAGCTTGGAAAGACAGCTAAAGAAGAGAATATAATTTGTATTTGTTTGAGATAATTCATCTTCAGCTCTTTCTTTCCCTTATAAAAGAGCCATTGATGCTGTAATGAACTTACACTGCAACTACTTTGTGTGATAGGCCAATAGTATACAACAGTTTTCTACCAAAATTTATTTCCCTTTTGCTATGACTGGGGATGAAATCTAGAAAGTCAAAACAATTATCTTTTTGCAAGAAGTAGCAACTGGAATTGGACAGCACTTCAGATTCAAAAGTAAATAGGTGTCTGAGAGCATACAAGCATATGACTGCAACTTCCTCAACCAAACCCATGTTTCCTGGTATCATGCTGCTTGTAGAAAGCAGTTGTGAACCTTCCATGGAAAGGTCCAGTTGCCTTAAGGAGCTGCAGGTGAGTACTACATAAATCAGTGATGGCGAACCTTTTACAGACTGAGTGCCCAAACCGCAACCCAAAACCCACTTATTTATTGCAAAGTGTCAGGGGCTCATCAGCATTGTGGTGCCCTCGGGGGGGCACGCAAAAACCAAGGGCGCAAAAATGGGCCACCGTGCTGCAAGGCACAAAAATGGCCACCGCTACTCCACAGGGTGCAGATACAAGGTGCTGCACCAAGCAAGAATGGGGCAGGGCTAGTGAGTATCATGCAGGCACTAGCCCCGCCTCATTTGCAGTGCGTGCATACCCGCGCCCCCTGCGTGCACACGCACATCTAAAATATCTCTCTTTTCTTCCAGTCCGCTAATCGACAATGGTTGGTAACCTCTACTCGAGCTTGCTAGTTGGCCGCTTCACCTCCTTTGTGCTGGGCGGGGCTCCTGCTCTGGGCGGTGGTGGTGGCCTTATGGACCTGTTACTGGCGGCGGCACACGTGCCAACAGAGAGGACTATGAGTGCCGCCTCTGGCACGCGTGCCATAGGTTCGCCACCAGTGACATAAATCAAATCTAAAGTATGGCACAACTCTTGCAGCAGTCAATCAGGTAAAATTCATCTGTTACAATGAGCAAAGATAGATTCCTTTCCTATTTTTTCCTAGGATATATTAGACTACACCTTCCAGAATTCTCAGCCAACATATATAAATTGTAGTATAACAAATTGGAGGACAACTACTTTTAGAGGAGGCTGCCTAAGGCAAAAATAGGTGGCAATATTCCAGATAACATGGTGGGTGTGTGAAGTCATCAAACAAGACATTTGCATAAAGCCAAGACTTGAACTATAAACTGTATTTGTTAAGTCTGTTTGATAGGTGAAAACACATTTGATAGACCTTTAATATAAGTTGGTAAATTTTTTGATTACTTTGGACCTTTCCTGATAAGTGATAATCAGCTCAAGGTCAAATCTAAGGTGTGCAATCCGATTTTTTCACAAACCTTTTGCTTCAAATGCAAGCATAGAAATTTTGTCCAGAAATAGTTAATTAATAGCTTGCATAGGTTATTTTAGTTCAATGAAATAAATAGGTGAGCCTGCTGAATGTAAGTAGTGGCCCTTTGAAATTGCCTGTATCAGTCTCAGACTTTCATTTCATTTTTGGAATTTATTATAGTTATCTGACATGTTGGCTTTGCTTTTGACATGGGGAGCAATGATGATATTGTGCAGTAGTTTGTGGTATGTTTTGGGAGTAAGAAGAAGGTAAGGAAAATTACTTTCAAGCATTCTGTCATGAATTCTGATTTTCCTTCCTTTTAATAATATTAAAGATTTCTTTTAAAAAAAACTATATGTTTAACACTTTTATTAACTAATTGATACAATGATTACAATGATTGATTGTTCATGTGTATATGCATGGGAAAGCAACATAAATGTATTATATGTATATATGTATGTATGTATGTATGTATAGTGTAAACAGACATAATCATATATAGATGATTCATATTTTATCATGAATCAGCATTTCAAATTATAAAGGATATCTTTAGCATGACAAATAGATTTCATTGAATTTTATTTACAATAGGTCTAAGGCATTCTAATTATTGGGGCTATATTAAGCTTCCCGACTGGACTCAAATCATTGAGTTCTTATCAGTTCTCTACTATCTCCTCAATAGATTTATCCCTCAGGGGAGGGCAAAGTACAAAATATCAAGGCAAAACCTTAATTTATACTGTAAATTTACACTCTATGTAAATATGAATATATATTCCTTTCTTTAGACATCCAGGGGAGCCACCTTTGGAGAATGGAATGTTGCCATATTTTGGCTGTGCTTTACAGTTTGGGGTTGATCCTCTCAAATTCCTCAGGGAACGACAAAAGAAGCACGGTTCCACTTTCACATGCCAATTGGCTGGAAAATATGTCCATTTCCTCACAGATCCATTTTCCTATCATGCTATGATACAACAAGGAAGAAATCTGGATTGGAAAAAATTCCATTTTACAACTTCAGCAAAGGTACTATTTCAAAAGAATAACTATAGTAATTAAATTCTTTTTCTGTTAAACGTGGGCAGGGTGAAGGGCTCAGTTTAAAAACCATGTCACCAAATACTGATTGGTGTGGGGTTTGTGGTTGTTAGCACAATATAAGGATGCTGTCCCAATATTCTTCAGATCCAAGCTTTTAAGCCCAATGGAATGAAACCAAATTTCACATTAAATGTAATTATTGTTTTGTCTTATTTATAGTTCAGTACTTCAAACTGCCTCTACTGCTTTTACAGCCTAGAAGAATCTTCCTTAATGTATATAAAAATTGATTTTCTTTATGGATTTTGATAAATCAATGCCAGCATATTTAAAGCAAAGAAAGCAAGAATATAAATGTAGGATTTTAACTATCAGTTTAATGATTGGCCTGACTGATTCAGGGTGTAATTTTGTGCTCTCTTGCCTAATATATCTTTGCTTGCAGGCCGGTATCAGATGATTTATATCTTTCAAATAAAGACACAGTTCAGTGTCAAATTTTATCTCCCCACCTTTGTAATTTAGATTACTGTTGGAAAACAAGTGTAAACACTGCTTTGTTCAGAATACATACAGTAACAGCAAATTATTTTCAAGTATAACTATTCTACCATACAGACAACCATTAATATGATGGATTTTTAATCTGGAAGATAAGTTTTAGATTAGTTTCAGATTTAGTATTTGCTATCATTTTCTCATCCAGCATAGAAAGCCAATGATGGATGTAAACCCATTTCCTATTGTAGATGAATCTTCTGCGTTTAAATGGTTACTAAATGGGGATTCTAAATGGCTGTACTCTATCACTCAGAATCCATCAGTAGGCAGTATGTTTAAGTATATCTCATCCCTAAGTTTTTCTTTCCCTTTTATAAATTATAGAAAAAATATAAAGTGCTTTCAATTTCAGATGCACGGGACATACAACACTCTAAGTAGTGCCATTCAGTTCTATCTTTAAGATGATTTGTGGTGAGTTAAATGGCATCAAAATAGGGTGAAAAGAGAGGAGAAGAGATTAGATAATTAATTAGTGGCAATTAATATTCTCAATATTTTGTGACAGGCCTTTGGACACGCAAGCATTGATCCAAGTGATGGATTCACTACTGAGAATATGCACCATACCGTCACAAGAACATTGCAGGGTAATGCCTTAACATTTCTCAGTGAAACTATGATGGAGAACTTGCATTATGTCATGGTGGAGTCAAATGCAGGAAAAATGAACTCCAGTGGCTGGGTCACTGATAAGCTTTATGAATTCTGCTGTCGTGTAATGTTTGAATCTGGGTTTTTAACACTTTTTGGTACAGAATTTAATACACATCATGACAAGGTCCTTGCTTCTAGTCAACAAGCCCAGAGAGCACGTATTCTCAGTAGCCTAGAGAACTTCAAGGAATTTGATCAAATCTTTCCAGCTCTTGTAGCAGGTCTTCCTATCCATCTATTTAAAAATGCTTACAGTGCACGAGAGAAGCTAGCTGAGACTCTGCTCCATGAGAACCTTAAAAAAAGAGAAAACATTTCCGAACTCATTTCTCTCCGAATGTACTTGAATGATACATTGTCCACTTTTGATGATATGGGTAAAGCAAAGACACATCTTGCAATCCTGTGGGCATCGCAAGCTAACACGATACCTGCTACATTTTGGAGTTCATTCTATCTTATTAGGTGAGTTCATACAAATGGCGGTCTACAAGAATACTATTTCTATTATAGTCAGTTTATTTACTGTTGACTAAGTGGTGAGATTAGTATTAGTTGATATGCTGGATGAATGTTGTTAAATATATTAATGATATTTGTTAAAACTTTTCTTCTGCATTTCTGGATTTCAGACCTTATTCATAAAGAATGTTATTAGAGCTCTATAGAGAAGAACTGTAAGGGGACAAGTAAAAAAGAAGGATCAGCCTAGAATCATTATGTAGCCACAGAGAAACTCCAACCTTCCCTTGATTTCTGTTGACCTATTAACCAGATGCTGACTGTTCATTGAGATGATTCCTGTACGTAGGCTTTTAGCAATAAATCAATTAAATTGAACCTTCACCATGTGGACCTGGTCTTTTGCATCTGACACTATAGACATGATAGATATGGTTTGTTAATAAATGAGCAGTGCAAATATCCTCAAAATGGGAAGAATTGATCAACCAGCTCTTTTGCAAATGTACTGCTGTAGGATATTATTTTGTAAAACACTATTTATATGTTTCATTTTTGCTACAAAGCCTAGGACAACCTTTTCCAAACCAATATTACCTAATGACTTTAAATCAGAACTCTTACAAAGCTTATGCTGGACAGGAATTCAGGATTTGTTATCCTAGGATTTGAGGACATCAGCTGGGAAAGGCTGAACCAGAGAATCTTAATTTGCCAATTCCATGACGGCCAGAAATTCTCTCTGAAGATAAGGAGTCTCATGAAACCAATATTACAAAAGGAAGAGCATTAAAATGAACTCTAAAAAAGGCCATTTATGTTTGCTCAGAGTTATATTGGGTAAATACACTATAATGCAGGGGTGTTAAACTGCCGGCCCATGGGCCGGATGCATCATGCCGAAACTGCACCCACCCCATTGCAGCAATGGAAAAAAAGTCACGATACATTGGGACACGTCACGTGATGTTGCGAGTTTGACCCCTGTTATAACGGATGCTTGCAGCATCCTAACATTTGGCAATAAAATTTAGGAACACTGGTGAAATTATTCTGATGATACATGTTCCCAATTGATCCGTTCACCATTAATCTGACTTCCATAAGGGTTAATTGGCCTATGTATTCAGGAAAAAGGATGAAACTACATAATACCTCCATAGAAGTTTGATGCCAACAAGACTGGTAGTTTTCTATCATCATCAGAAATACTAGCTCTGCAGGATCAAACATGATTCTGAACCACAAAGTTGGAATCATGGTCCAAATTTGGGCCTTAATGCTTGGACCATTAGCTTTAGGCTTCACAATTGCATTAGGGACACATTTTGGAGAACTGAACTGAATCCTAATAAACATAAATGAATGGTTTAATATGCTCTAAGGGTTGTAAAAGGACTGAACTGCATACCATACAATTATTGTGTCACTTGTTTAGGTATAATTGCTGCAGAAATATAAATTTAGTTCTGTTAAAGTTACAACATGCCAACTTCCAAGTTATGATGCTTGAGTCTCCAGTACTTAGGATGAGATAACTTCTCAATTGTGTCCTTTTTGGAATATATGAGGTTAAAAACAAACTTTCAGAATACATTTTGATAGTGAGATACTAAGACTGAGAAGTAAAATGCAAAGCAATAAAGCTGATCATAGACAGAATGTAGATAGAATACTTCCATAGGCAAACTGAACCATGCAATCACATTTTCATAGCTGAGTCAAGAGAGAAATGTTGCCAATGGCCATACTTCCTATCTTGGTTGTTTAAGATATGATTATCCTGGGCAAGATCTGCCTGTAACTCAACACAACCTGGAGCTATTTCTAAGGATAGGGCACAATGACTGTAATAATGCATTTTATTGATGTTCATTGTATGGCTTAGACTAATGTCTAGAGTTGCCTTGGCAAGATGAACAACACAGATGATTAATAATAAACAAATACAATAATGTGAATATTTGTATTGTGATGTCACTGTCTTTCTCTTTCAGGAATCTCAGTGCAATGAAAGCAGCTACAAAAGAGGCAGAACGAGTGCTAAAAGATGCTGGCGAAAAGATCTGTACAAGCAGGAAACCCATTTGCTTGAATAAAAAACAGCTGGATGACATGCCTATATTAGGTACGCTTGGTTAACTTTTACTGAAATATATGAACTCCCATCTGCTAGAATTTAGAAACCACTAATCATCAGAACAAATCAGCTGGATAATAGTCTTAGTCTTGCTCTAATGATGAAATATAGTATGCTTGGCTGGAACAACAGTTCATGCATTGGTTTTGCTTTTTCATTTTTACTGGATCAGGTTTGACTTTAATATCAGTATAGTAGCACAGCTGTTTATCGTACATTTAGGTGAAAGTTCATTTTTACTTCCTCTACATAGACAGCATTATAAAAGAAGCACTAAGACTCTCCAGTGCATCCATGACAGTCCGAGTTGCAAAGAAAGATTTCATTTTGCAATTAGGCAATGATTCCTACAATATCCGCAAAGATGACATCATAGCTGTTTATCCCCAGCTGTTGCATCTTGATCCTGAAATCTATCCTGATCCACTGGTGAGTTTTCCAACAAAACAGTTTGCCAGAGTACTAACAGGAAGAAATAATTCTATATTATAAAACAATTTGGGTTTTGCTCAGTGAATTCTCCCACAGGTAAGAACTTAATACCATAGGCAGAATAATATCAGTATTTGTCCAGGCTCCATCTTTGCCTTAGTATTAGCAACAATTAGGTGCATTAATACTTTTCATTTGTAATTATATAATTAATCAGTTTAAATATCATCCCAATAATTATTTCAGTTTTAGTTTCCTAAGACATGTTTTACCAACGTTGATAAACTACTGGGAAAGAAATGGACTGAAATAACCATTCTATCCTGAGGTTATTAAACAAACCATGTTCATACGTAGAAAATGTTAATGTATAGCACACTACTTTGGATATAGTAAGACAGATGCCATAAATACCATAAATAGCTGCCAAATAATCTGTTTTGGTGATAATTTTACTAAAGTGTACAATACAAAGATGAATACAAATACAAAGTAAGAAAAATATAAACAGTAAAGAAAAAGTGCAAAGATATAGAAGAAAGAAACTTCATATACTCTTTCATACCATTTTAAATATCTCACAGGAAATATTCTTTCAAGCCCATCTAGCCTTTAACTTTCCCAAGTCCCCTTTTTGCTATTTTCAAAAGTTTTTTTTCTTTTTAATCCTTAAATTTAAATAAAACTTCATTAATCTAGGATACGAAACTCCCAGCATGATAAATCTAGCGTTCAGAAGATTATTAATAACCAAGCAGGTAACTTCCTAGAGTAGTTAAGAAAGGTAATAGGTAAATCCAGGGTGCTTTTGAAGGCGCCAAACCATGGCTTAGTATGATGATTTCCCACAGATTTCCAGAACTCTCAAATCTGTAAGAGATTACTATGTTGCTATCTCTTCGTGGGGAGCTTGTGTATAAAGCAAACCTGTGGGTAATTTGAGCCCTCTTCTTGATCTGGAAAGGAGTTCCAAGGAGCCAATGGATTCACAGGCTTCCTTCCCCCCCCCCCCATATCTGGCAGTTTTATTCATATGGATCCATCTTTAATCTGCCATTATTCCCCAGAAGTCCATAATTTTTGTGAAAGTTAAAATTAAATGATAATGCATGTGTATACATGTATGGAGAGAGAGAGAGAGAGACACAGAGAGTGTGTGCTTGGTGTAGTGGTAAAAGTGCTGGCCTAGAAACCAGGAGATTGTTAATTCTTGTCCCACCTTAGACAAGAAAGCCAGCTGGGTCATTTTGGACCAGTCACACTCCTACAGCCTAACCCATCTCATATAGTTAATTGTCGGGAAACTAGCAGGAAGGAGTATGAATGTGGGTTTTCCACCATGAGCTATTGATTAAAATCATAGAGGGATAATAAATAAATAAATAAATAAATAAATAAATAAATAAATAAATAAATAAATAAATAAATAAATAAATAATATATAGATTGGAAGAGAATGATTGTTGCTTTTGGATCCATACTTATTAATGATAAGGAGGAAAAAACTTACTCCCTAAAGAATTTTTGTAATAAGTAGAAAGCAAAGGAAAAAATATCTATATCTATAGACAGTGATAACATTAGAAGTGACAAACTAAATGCAAAATATCAAGGGTATGGCTACTCATTGGGTAAAAAAAAGGAAGCAGAGTTCATTGCTTATTTCATTATCCAAGATTTTCCCACTTCAAAATGCCGTTTTAAAGTATATTCAGTCAAGTGTTAATTTGATCTGAAATTTTTATATATTTCCAACATTTTATCCAATATTTTATGTGAAAGTTGTTTAATATTCTGAAATATATTATCATATTTAATTTATCTGGCTAGTAACATATTCAGCAATTGATTTCCAAATCATCAGAAAAAAGAATACACATTCAGTTTTCATTTGCAACTCTTAAATTATCTTAAGGTTGCTGAGTTAGCACATAACACTGTTTTGAATTTTGTTACAGACATTCAAATTTGATCGTTATCTTGGAGAAAATGGAGAAGAAAAAACTTTCTATCGTAATGGTCACAAATTAAAATATTATTATATGCCATTTGGAACAGGATTGGCAAAATGTCCTGGAAGATTATTTGCTATTAATGAAATCAAACAATTTCTGAGTTTCTTGCTTTTCTATTTTGAAGTGGAACTAGTTGACAACAATGTAAAGTGCCCTTCTTTGGATCAATCGCGAGCTGGACTTGGTGTTTTGCAACCTTCAAATGATATAGATTTCAAGTACAGATTAAAACTTTCATGAATGTAAAGAGCACTATTATATCTTAGCATCAGTCCTCCAAAGAGATAGAAAGGTCCACTGAGTAAAAGTGCTGCAATATACTAGAAAAAAATGAGACAGCTTGGAGAAACTGCTATCATTGTTTTATATGATTGTATAGGAAATATTTTCCAGTGTAAATCAGATTTCTGGACTGATTCCTGTGAGTTCTGGGGATAGGTCTTTCCACTAAATGTGCTTGTATTGGTTTTGAGACCAAATCAGAGTAAAGGGGAAAAAATGAAAGAAGGATATAAATTGACCATCTATAACCCCAAAGCCTATGAGACATGATTACTTCACTAGATTTTGAAAAACGATAGATAACCTTGTACCATGCTGCCTTTTACGTACTTGCAAATAAAGCTTGCAAACATAAGATCATGGGTTAGACTTTAGGTCACTGATAAAATGTGTACAAAACTCATCCTAATACCAGATGAGTATGAATATTTTTTTCAGGCAAGGGCGGTCCAGCTTTCCTTATTGCTTTTGTAGACCCTGATCTTAACATCATCCCAAATGAAGGTCTGGGTGTTGTGGATTTTTGTTTATTTCTATATAACTACTGTGTATAGATTTTATTTTCTTCAATAAAATATTTTATTCATTCTGGAAAGCTTTAAGAGTGTTTTCTTATTCTTCAGCTCAGACAATTTTCAGTGGTGATGACATCTCCTATTATAGAACCAACCAAAATCTGCTCAGTATGTAACATCTAAAAAATATTGAGAGGAAAATTTCAGGGGGAAAATAAGAATTCTGGGTCATGAGCAAATAGAAGGTCACTGTCAGTTTACTTACTGATAGACCAAAGTAACCTCACACTATTTTATTCTTTCTCTGGCAAAAGCAGAACTACACAAGCTTCCTAATACATCAAACGGAATACTGGCTGTGCTATTTATTTAACCTATAATAACCTTCAAAACAAGCAGGCAAAGACTTTTTAACATGAGTAGTGAAAAGAAATAACAAGAATTCATCCTTCAGGCCAGCAAATGGATTCATGTCACATTTTTTTTTAAAAAAATTACTACAGTACCTAGCCAAGTTTCTTTTCTTAGTCTAACAACTGTTACTGTAAATCAATGCAAGGAGAAATCCCATCCACATGTGTCACCTATCTTAGAGTCAGGGTGAGGGAACATAGTTTTGAAAATAGTGTCTACCTTCAATTGAGTATTTTCTATAAGCAAATGCACAGAAGTTAGGCAAAGAACTTTTAACATGGAAAAAGGATGACTGGAAAAAGATAGAAGTATACTGAATAAAATTACACATGGCATGGAGAAAGTAGCTAGGGAATCCTTTTTTTCTGCCTCTCAAAATACTAGGACCTGATACCATCCTTTAAAGTAGAATGGAAAGACATATAAAATAATCACAGGAACCATTTTTTCACACAATATAATATATATTAATATTTTCTACTGATTGTATTGTTTTGATATTTTTTTTCATTTTTAATTGTAATATATACTGCTCACAAAAATAAAGGGAACGCAAACCCCTTCAGATCCATGGTAAAATGTTCCCTTTATTTTTGTGAGCAGTATATATTCTGAATTGTAAGCCATCCAGAGTCATTTACTGAGATGGGCGACTATAGAAATTGAACAAATAAATAAATTAACCTGTAGAATTCATTACCAGGGTGGTCATTAACATGAATGGTTTTGGACGGATTCCACGTAGGAGTTGCATAGAGGAAGAAGGCAATTTGTTTGTCTCTTGCTTGTAAGCACCTTAGAAACAAGACTAACTGACGACATCTTTGTTCACTAACTTAACTATATCCGGAACTAGACTAGGTCGTACCGATGAATACAAAAATTTAGTGTGAAATGCGACGTCGTGGAAGTTTATGTACATGGTTAGTACGATAAGGGAAAACCTCTTTCGTTTCAATCTGTTTACGTCTTTTGATCATTCTTACTTATTCCACTTTCCTCTGGAAGGCATGAACAAAGAGAAAAGAAAATATAGCTGAGTAGAAGTTATGCTAACACCATGGCTATGCATGTATCCTATACATTTCTATCCCTACGTTTTCAGTTTATATGTATTTTGCTTTCTTTACTGCATTCTTTGCAATTATCTTTTCTAGCTATACATATTAAACCAGTGTTTTTCAACTTGGTCATTTTAAGATGGGTGAATTTCAATCCCCAGCATGCTGGTTGGGAGATTCTTAAGTCCACACATTTTAAAATTATCAAGTTTGAAAAACACCACATTAAACTATTTGTTTCTTTCCTCATGTTTTTTCAAAAATAGTTTCTCAACTGATTTTTTTTCTCATCCATAACCAATTTAAATTTTGTTATTCTACCAAGCATCTTTTTAAATATTTCCACTGATGGAGACTTAATTTATTTCACTCTGTTCTAAGTAGTACCTACATCCTCTTTCTAGTCACTGTGTTGGGAGATTAATCTATCTTTTATTTTTTTTGAGACAAGAGCTGTACTTTCTCTTCCAATCATACATCTTTCAGTTCCATTCTTTCATTTCTTTCTTTTTCTTCCTTGTCCATTTTTTCTTAAGAGCCTCCCCTGAATGATTTGACCCACATTCAGAACCTTTTACCATTATGTTTCACTAATTCATAAGGAAACAAATTAAACATATTGATTCATTACTATTTTATGTATATGCATGGATGGACTGGTGTGTAAACCACAGATTTGAAACAAGCAGATATTTCTCAATGACAGTCATTCTTCTCAGTTTTTCTTCAGTCTTCCAAAGATCAGTCTCTTTCTATATTCTGCCTTCTCTGTTATTAGTTACTGCAGCATAAGATGTAATTATCAACATATGAATTTCTACTATCATACACTATAGGAACAATCTAGCTCAGAGGTCCCCAACCCCCGAGCTAAGGACCGGTACTGGTCCACAGCCCATTGGGAACTGGGCAGTGCAAGCAGTGTGCGAGTTCACAAAGCTTCATTTACACATGCACGAGAACTAGATTGCATGTGCAAAACCATCCCTTCCCCCCTATTGCCGCCGCTGCTGCTGCTGTTGATTTGTGGAGCCAGAAGGGTTGGGGACACTGATCTAGATGACATCAATTCATACTTTTTGACATACACTAAATTTGATTTCTTTCATTCATAATTATAATTCAGCTTCCCTTCTATATCAATGCACAATTGCACAAGATTATCTTCATTCAGATCTAAAACACTGTTTCTATTTTTATTAACTGAACAAATATTTTCACTTCCAATGATTTTATTCCTGCTCTTTATCATACACTGCTCCTAAATTCCAAGTCATAATCTACTTTATAATCTGGTCATAGACACTGAATTATGCCACCTGTCACAGCTTTTTTAGAATAGAGAAAGTTGATTACAGCCTCAGTCTTACCTATGCCACATGCAGCATTCTCTGCTAATGTAAGAAAGGTAATTACAACTTTGGGCACATTTTGGTCAGTTGGCCTTATGCCTGACAAAAGCCATATTTTATCCCAAGCATGGTCAAGCTGTTCTATATAAACTTAGCTTTCTAATCTAGTAATTATGTTTCAAGTCAATATTCTTTGCTCAGATCTCATCAACTAAGAGATGGATTCAGAATACCGACTCACTTATGAATTTGGAATTACTATGTGGTATATTATATATCGTATACCATACAATTTAAGAATATGAAGATTTTTATCTCTGTCTTAATACCATACACATATAGGGAGACAATAGGTAAAGAAATGCTCAATTTATGTTAGGATTGTAGACTTTCTGAAAGCCTCTGGCCAGACAGAGTCACCTAATAAGGGACATGGGCAGCATAACAATTTAATAAATAAAATAAATAAATATTACTTTCCCTACTCTGATTCCTTACATATTTTGGATATGTTAAATATGCTATATACTGTTCCACAAAAAAATAGTTATCTGAGTGGCAAATTAAAATATGTCCGGCTGTATTTATTATGTTATGCTAATATTTCTAGCATTATAATTTTCTTTCTAAATTTATACTTTATTTTTAAAATATAAAGGCAACTACAATAATTTAAAACAGGTACTGTTTTCCATACAAATCTATTGTCATTCAAATCATCATATTTCTTGAAATGGGTTCTTTACACTGCACAATCCATCTTCAAACCCCATGGACTTCAGCACTTCAACACTGTAAACACAAAATGGAATCTTCATTATCCCTGTAGAATACCTGGAACAACCTATTGTCAGCTTTCTCCATAGAACCTTAGCCAATTTATCTGTACCTAAAGTAAACATTTCTTGGAAAAGACTGCTAGAAAACATTTAAGAGATTTGGAAATTCATGGATAGAGGAAAAACAACTCCCCCCCCCACAGAAAAATCTGCAAACATAAGGTTAGTGTTGATAATAGCATAATGCTTAATGAGCATTGAAACTGTTATATCAGAGATTTAATTGCAAATGTGTTTGGTCTCACTCTTCAAACAAATTTTTGTTCAACAAAACTGAAGAATAGGTTGCCTAATGGACTAGCAAGATGTGTTTATACACCATGGACATGTTATTTTTATATTGTTTTCAACACTCTAGACCATGTCAAACTCACAACGTCATGTGACGTCGTGCAATATATCGGAGCTTTTTTGCCATTGCGCCGTTACCCCACCCGCACCGAGGCCATACTACTTTGGCCGGGTACCCGACCGTCAAACTGTGGGGACGAGATCTGTTTGTTCATACTCGAGGAAGTTATAATAAATAAACCAGTCACTAAGATATGTAGATCAGAAGATTTTATAACAATATTTTAACTATGTTTTGTATATTAAATGAAAACAAGTTTGTTTTAATTTAAATTTTAAGTAGAGAGATTATCTCTCATTAACTGAGTACAGAGCTGCATTTGGATCACAGTTTATAGAAAGAATGAGTATCTTTTGACAGATATCCTAAACAGAATGCTCTTTTAGTATGATGATTATAACCAATGAATGGGAATGGGGGAGAGA